CTATCAAGAGATTACAGGCTTTAAACTTTTTCTTCCAATGATAATGTTATTGTTCATTTAAACTGTTCTAAGGGCCAGAAGTTTAAAACAGCTAGTCACTTCTATACTATGTGCCCATGGAATAGAAATGTCTGTCGATTCATCCATTCTTTTATTCATCCATACATTCGAGTCATCATATTAATGCTCTCTTGATTCATAGCATAACACTTGAATATTAATTTGAACATATCCTTATGATTTCATCCTTTACTCCCACCACAATATTTTTCCATCCATACTAGGGACCCCATCCTCTGCCACCTCCTTCTGAATCTCAGAGAACAATCCTTCCCTTTTGCTTATACACCTTCAAACACCCTTATCTCAGTTTCTTCCTCTTCAGAATTTAAACAGACTCTAATCATTTCTGTCTTAACAAATATATATCCTTTCTCCATTTGCCTTCCCCCAATTTATCCTTCTTCCATTTTACCCACGCCCTCCCCCCTCCCCCACCTACCACACTAGTTTCTCTTCTTCTTTCAGACTTTTTAAAAGAGGTAACTACATTCCCCTTTTCCACTTCAGCTCCCATTCACTTTCTCAATACACTTCAGTGCAGCTTCTGCCTCATCACAGAACCGACCTTGCTCACTAAGGTTATATTGCTAAATCCAATGAATGCTTTCCAGTCTTTATTTTAGTTGACCGCTCAGCAGCATTTGATGCTATTGACCTCTTTAAAATTCTTTTAGGTTGAATTCTGAAACATCATATTTTCCAGCGCCCTTTATATTCAACTTTACACTATACATGGTTTAAACATTGCTCTTCTTTAAAGATCTTGCCAAAGCACCTACTTTTCTCACTCTATATCACTTCTCAGAACTTCCAATGGCTTAATTTATAAACTATGTAATTCCAAAATATTTATCTCTAAATTAAACTCAATATATCTAAAACTCACTCATCATCCTGTCCCCAAACCTGCTCCTCCTTCAGTGTTCCCATCTGGGAATGATGCCATCTCTTTTGTATCTTGTAATTCAGGCAACATATGCTTTTGAATACCTACCAACCTGAAAGAAATACACTTCAACAAAGAGCCACAAAATCTTCCCATAAAGAAACCCTATTACACATTCACAGCAGATCATCCAGCAATGTCTCTCTGGGGTTTTCCCAGCCCTTTGAACTTGGAAAAGTTATTTATACTCTTTGAACTTCTTTCTTTTTTTTTTCAACTGTAAAATGAGAATAATAGTAGCCCCTAAGCCACAGGTTGTGTGGGTTAAGTAAAATTGTGCGTGTAAAGCTTAGCACATAACCGGCACAGAGTAAACTCTCAACAAATGTTACTTTAAAAAAAAATCACCTTATTACTTATTAGTCACCTTAGCTGTACCTTTATCAGGTTCAGTAGCCTGTAGCTGCACTTGTCAAAATCCCTTATTTTACAAATGAGGATGAAATTTTCTTCATCATAATGGTTTCTAAACAGCTGAATTAAGTAGCTGTATATCATCCAGGGCTAACCTGCTGTTAGTATACACCAATATGGTGAAACAGTTGTGTACTGCCAGTGCCCATTCTCATTGGTCATTGCACAGCCAGCTCCTTCTGATTGGCTGATAAATATTTTGCATAGCACTTCTGGTCTTTTACTTTATAAAGATTTGTAAACTTCCTTGATGAAAATGTTAGTTTTTCCCTCTTCTATGCCTTCATATTGGTTTGTTTATACTGCACTTACCACATGGTATGTGAATTCATTGTTTATATTTTTGTCTTCCTCTGACTTTGATGCTCATGAAGGCAGAGTCTGTACATTATACATGTTTGTGTACCCAGTGACCAGTTCAAAACCTGTCTTGCATAATTATCACTTAATAAATTCTTGTTAAATAAACATATGGAAGAAAGTGTGGTTCATGCTATAAAGCATAAGAGATATAACATTCATACCTCCTTTGTAGAAATTCAAATATGTTTAATTAATTTCTAGTTTTAATCTAGGGAAAACATCTTATTTTAAACAAGTAATCTGATTGGTCCTTAATATTGATTTTTTGGTAAGTTACGCCTAACTATTTTTATATTTTTCATTTTGTAATGTTATTTCATTATTTCTGTTGGTAGTGTTTTGAATCAGTAACCATGACATGCAGTTTCTCCCCCAGTGTTCCATTATTTACAAGAATTGAGTTTTTCTTACAGGCCTTTGTGTTGCCACCCTGGGCGTTGCAGTATTGATGCGAATTTTGACTGCATTTCTGATGGTGTGTTTCGCTGGTTTTAACATAAAGGAAAAGATATTTATTTCTTTTGCATGGCTTCCTAAGGCCACAATGCAGGTAATGATAGATAGGATGGCTTAGTGTTTTAACTTCTATTTCTATATTATACCTTGAAATATTGAATGAGAGAGCATATTTAGGTTTGGTGAAAATAATTGCTTGAAGTTTGATTTATGAAAATAGTTTTATTAATCTACTCTTCAAAAGTTTTATCTTTAGTATATTGATTCCTTACTTAATTTTTTTTTTTATATCACTAGGGTACAACTAAAAATGTAATAAATCCCTACTCTACTAGAAAGCAGTAGTAGCAGAAGAGAAGGGTTTGAATTTTTACCAGTCATAGCTCTCTATATAATCCAGAGAGATATTTCTTACCTCTTTTCATTTCAGTATCCCAAGAAGAGAGTGAAACAGAAATAGCATGGCCCATTTTAGTGGTTGAAGATATTTCAATGTCAATATAATTAATGTTCAATGATGCTTGGCTAGATTTTATGTATAATGGAGAAAAGAAGATTTATTGAAAACACTCAGAAAATGCTTTATTGATTTTCTAGATTATTAGTTGATTTCAAATTATGTAAACAAGTTTAACCTCCTTCCAAGTGTTGCATCTGCTTGACATTTGTGTACTCTAATGAGCAAGTGATTATGAAAGCACTTAGAGATAGGTGCTTGAAATTGTTGATCATGCATTTGTTAGAATACTTACAATTGCTAACTAAATTAGAACTGTATAGACTATGATTTTCTGCAGTTGTTTAAGTATACAAATTTCTATGTTTATGGAATTAAAAATTAGTTGTTGTTAATTTGCTCAGGGTGGTTAAGAGCTTGGCTGCTAACCAAAAGGTCAGCAGTTCGAATCTACTAGCCACTCCTGGGAAACCCTATGGGGCACTTCTACTCCGTTCTATAGAGTCACTATGAGTTGGAATTGGCTCAACAGCAACGAGTTTTTTTGTTTTGTTTTGGAGAATGTGTATGCTCTGTAATTATGTACTAGATTTTGTGTGGCTGTAGGCATGGGCATTATTCCAGAGAAGTTTCTCCTTTTTCCATCAGATTTTCAAAGATGTCTGAGACATAGTGGTTAAGAGCACTGTGAGATTAATGTAATACAGTAAAGAGGATAGTTTTTCCCTCAGAGTGTTTCTAGCTCTCACATGACTTCCGGTAACTTTAGCAGGTAAATATCAAAACAACGATTCTAGTAGCTTTGGTATGAACAATTTGTTATAAAATGTTAAAATTTGAAAAAGGGCACTTTGCTACCGTGAAAGCATAGTGTAAAATAAGGAAAAATATCCAGGATATATTGGATAATGTTCTGTTTTGTGCTAAAAAAATTTTTTTCTTTTTTTGCCACTGCACAAGAAACAAGACTTTCTTATATATATTTTTCTATATCAGTGTTTCTCAAACTTTTTAGTCTGTGGCCTACTATAAGAAATATATTTTACATCAGAACCCAGCTGTCTTCGTCATCTAGTGCTACTATAACAGAAATACCGCAAGTGGGTTGCTTTAACGAACAGAAATTGATTTTCTCACTGTTTATGAAACTAGAAGTCTGTATTCAGGGTGCTGGCTCCGGGGGAAGGCTTTCTCTTTCTATTGGCTCTGAGGGAAGGTCCTCGCATTTTTTTCTACTTCTGTTAATTGGTTCCTTGGAGATCTCATGTGGTGTGACATCTGTCTTCCCCAAACTGCGCTTGCTTCGTCTGCTCCTTTATATCTCAAAAGAGATTAACTTAAGACACATTTACACTATTACTGTCTCATTAATGTAACAAAGAATATCCATTCGTAAATGGGATTATAACTTCTCTAGGGGTTAGGACTTACAACACGTATTTTTGGGTGACAGAATTCAATCCAAAACACCAGCCAATACAAATCCCAAAACATACACATACACATACACGTATACCTACAGAGAGAACTGAAAATATATTTTGTAGTGTGTACAGTTCTTGCCAGGAATCCATGAAATGTTGAATTAGTTAGGGTACAGGTAAGCTGCAGTAACAAACAGCCCCCAAATCCAGGGACTAAATGAGATTTTTCTGTCTCTCTCACCAGTAGCCCAGCATAGGCATTTCAGAGCTGAGAGGGTAACTGCCACCCTCAGCATGTGCCTTCCATCCATGGGTCCAAGGTAACAATTCCAACTCTCACAATTTCCTGTCCAGCGGAAAGAGGGAAGAAATAAGGGACATGCTTGTCTATTCCTTTTCAGAGTACAGTCTACATGTTGCACTTATCATTTCTGCTCACCTCTCAGTGGCAGAGTTTACATACATAGTCACATCTACTTGCAAATGAGACTGGAAAAAAAAGTTACTACTTGGCCAGCTCTATGACCAGCTAAAACTCAGCAGCTCTGTTACAGAAAAGGAACATTCAGATATTTGTGAGCAGCTACTAATCTCTGCCATTGTATCTGATGCTCTCGATATTTTCTTATCTGTTTGATTGTCTTAGAGGCTGTGTTGTGCTCTGTGGGATAAAGAGATAATCATATCAATTGATAAATTTTTCCCATGTGAATTGATAATACTGCACTTTGCCTCTAAAAGAAAATGAGAATTTTCATAATACTTAGATAAATTCTAAATAAACATTTCACCAACTCCTTAGGCAAAATTTCCTAAATACCTAATAAGATTAACTTCAAGTTCCTGAAGGTACCTACCACTTTCATGTTTCATGATGTTTAACAATTAGTTTAGCCTCTAAAGCAGTACATACTCTTACATTTTTAGCCCGAATCTAAACCTTTACCATCTTCCAATAAGTATCACTCCATTTTTTCCACTTATTTTTTCTTAATTCCAGATTTCTAAAGATAAAAGAATGAGGCAACCAGTAACATTCATCTTTAATGAGGAGAAATTTAGTATACAGAACTTCATGTTAGGTTGTAATTGATATTGTGAGTCTGTATCTGCCTAGTGTTATGAAATTCATTTGCCTGATATTTATGTAATCCTGCCTTATGCATATAAGTGTGTATGATTCATCAGTCTGTCAGATAATCAAAACCAACTGCAGTACACTTTGAAAGAAGACTAAATAGAACTTTGTTAGTTGAACAAAAGTACTGTTTTTTTTGTTTGTTTGTTTGTTTGTTTTGGCTAATGATTAATTCACCTTTGTTGTATATGCTTGTCTTTCCATATTCCCTACTTTACCCTTAAACTTTTATAGGTTGCGTTAGGATCTGTGGCTTTGGACACAGCAAGATCATATGGAGATACACAGCTGGAAGACTATGGAATGGATGTGTTGACAGTGGCATTTTTGGCCATCCTCATTACAGCCCCAATTGGACGTCCGCTTATTAGTTTGCTGGGCCCCAGGCTTCTCCAGAAAACTAAACATCAAAGTAAAGATGAAGTAGTTCAAGGAGAGCCTTCTGAACAAGTTTCGAGGTGAAAAGAGACAATGCTGAATATAATAAATAGAACACTGCTACCAGAGCCTACTTTATCAAGATGGAAGTTGAAATATGTAATGTTTAAGCTTAAAATGCAATAGAACCATAAGTGTAGCTATTTCTTTACGATGGTGGTAATATTCTACATCTCCAATCCTGACTGCTGTACCATCTTTTTTTTTTCCTCAAACTCTCCTTCATTATGTATCTTTATTTTTATAGGGACATATCGCCTTTAATGGGCTACCATAATTTAAAATTAACATGAAGAGGAATGAGTTCAGTTACCAGCCAACAGCTTGCCCTAACTTCCAGTCACTGTCACAGTTTCATGATTCACAGTACTTAGACTCTTGAGCTTTGAATTGATTTTGGCTCCTCTTTTTTTTTTTTAAACACCATAATGAAGTCCCTCATCAATTCCTACCCACTTCTTCCTTGCTATTCTGCCTCTTCTCTATTTCACTTACTACTGTTCTGAGAATTATTGTAACTGATTAATCCCTACCAGATTTTTAAAGTACACAAGAATTTACATTGGTTTTTCCTCTTGCCCCCATCTAGATGTCAGAAGACCTTATCCTATTCCCTAACTGGCTAGCCAGAGTCCTCCATTTCAGTGGCCCATCTAAGTCCACCTTCCCCAGAGAGTGCCCTAATCCAGCTCATTTTATTATTTTTCTTATGACCTATGTCTTTAGGGCCTTCCTGTTCCCTAGATGAGAGATGGCTAACTTTCCAATCTATGTCATGCTCATGACTATTATATTAATTAAGGTAAATGTAATATACTTTAATGAAGAGAAAACATCCAGTGGGTAAGAGAAAATAGAAATGTATTTCTTCCTGATGACACTTGCTGGCTGATTGATGGTGACAGAGTTGTTCTGCTCATGAGTTCATTCAGAGACCCATGACCTTCCATCATGAGACACTGTCATGCCCTAGCTTAGGACATTGGTTCAAGTTCAGTCTCCACCATGTCTCTTTCCTAGCCCTCGGGAAGAAGGAAAAGAAAGTCAAAGGCAAGCAATTTATTTTTAAGGAAGTGTCTTAGTTATCTAGTGCTGCTATAACAGAAATACCACAAGTGGATGGCTTTAACAAAGAGAAATTTATTCTGTCACAGTCTAGTAGCCTAGAAGTCTGAATTCAGGGTGCCAGCACAGGGGAAGCTTTCTCACTTCTTTTGGCTCTGGAGGAAGGTTCTTGTCATCAATCTCCCCCTGGTCTGGGAGATTTTCATCTCCTTCCTGGCTCTTCTTTGTTGGAGGTCCTCATGTCTCTGCTCGCTTTTCTTTTATATCTCAAGAGAGATTGATTTAAGACACAGGGTAATCTTTTACACTGAGCCCTGCCTCATTAGCATAACTGCCACTAATCCCAGCTCATTAACATCATAGAGGTAGGATTTACAACACATAGAAAGATCACATCAGATGACAGAATGGTGGACAATCACACAACACTGGGAATCATGGCCTAGCTAAGGTGACAACGTATTTTTTGGGGGGGAAATAATTCAATCCATAACAGGAAGTGATATAGAAGTTGGCAAATCTCTCCTCTTACATTGCATTGGTGATGGCCACACCTAGCTGTGAGAAGGCTGAGGAGTATCCTCTCTTGCTAAGCATGCTCATTCCTAGGAGGAACAAAAGATTAGATTTGAGAGCCAGAGCTACCACTGTGTTGCATGTTACCATTGCTTAGTAATACAGTTTTTGCATGTTAACAAGGGCCTTCTGAAGATAGTAGCTTAAACCAAAAGAGTGACTTCTGAGGCAGAAATTTCAGACCTTGTGACATGCCAGCAGAGAAGTATTAAAAGAAAGGCTTATTTGCATAGGTCACATCCTGTCCCACTTACACAAAAGGCTCTGTCTGGATTTGTGCATCACCCATAGTTTGTCTCCACTCTAGGTCATCCTGGTTGCAAGAATAATCACATTCAAATACAACTTAAATCATGTGCTATGTATACCTGAAGTATTTTTTTATATTGCGTCTGAACTCTTTAACATAGAATTCAAAATTTAATCTAATCTTGATGTTAAATGAGTGAGTGATGACTCTTCTAATCCCCCCAAGCTGATTTGCATAAAGCTTGTCTACTCCTGTCATTTCATTAGACTACCAGGCTGCCATTTCTACCACGGCCTTCACTTCTATTCAAAAGTTTGAATAGCTTACTATTCACCACTTCTAAGCAGGTTTTCTTTTTATGCTGTTAGCCAGACTCTGGGTACTTTGTGGTATTATGTTCCCTTAGTATTTATGTTCTCAATTGGAACTGGATTAATTTCTACCAAAGGTCAGAGGGACATTTCAAACTGAATTTCCTTGGTTCAGTTTCCTTGGTGGGGGCACCATAAACTTAATGTTGATCTTGTCCTCTATTTTTGTAGGCTCTAAAACTATATTCATTCAACAACTGCTTAGTGAAAGCCTTTGGTGATCCAGGCACATCATCAAGACTAATATTTGTTCCTCTCCTTAAGGATCTGACAATCAGCTAGAGGAAACAGACAAACAAAACACTGCAAAACAGTATGATCAGTGCTGTTCTGTAGTAAGTACAGGGGCCCTAGGGACCTCATAGCAGAAGTGCCCAAGGGAGAAAGTAGGGCCTCGGCTGGGACCTGAGAGGTGATTAGGATTTAGCTAGCAAAAGGGGTGTGCGGCGGAAGAGTACTGCAATTAGTACATTCCCCATGTGACCACTAGATTAGATAGAAATACTTTAACATTTGGATCCCTGCAAGTGCGGTGTCCATGTACCCTACAGATACTGTCAGAGCACCAATGACACTTTTTTCAGTTTGTTTATACATTTGTCTCCTATTAAATCAGCTCCTTAGGAGCAGGAGATTTATCTTGGTCATCTTTGAAAACTCAGCAGTTAGCAAAGAGCATGGAACACAATAGGTGTTTAATAAACTTTTACTGACTGAATTCATGAGGGGATCCTCTTTCAGTATCAAAAGAAAATTATTTGTCACCCAACGTTTCAGATCTGGAGTGCCACACTTCCAAGAACGATGCTAAACACTGCAAAGTCTTTATCTTCAATGCCCTTTTTTTCCTAAGCATGTCCCTCTGTGAAGTATTTTTTCAGGCACACTGATTAGGTTTGAGGTCTTTAAATTATCTTCACATTCCAATTTTTCTCTCTGGTGTTAACCGCAAATAACCTTGATTGAACTTGTGTCCTTAACATTTCCTTAGTCATTCATTTACAGATAATTTTATCCTTTACATTCTTTAAAAATAGCAGTTATTATTTTTTCTGATTACAAAGTAATATATTTTCATTGCAGAAAATTCAGAACACAGAAAAGTACAAAGAAGAAAACAGAAAATACTTTTTTTCAATTTTATTTATTTTGTTGTTGTTGAGCTTATAAACAGCAAAACATACACCAGTTCAGCCACTTCATATGTACCATTTAGTGACACTGATCACATTCTTTGAGTTGTGCAGCCATTCTCACCCTCCTCTTCTGAGTTATTCCCCATTAACATAAGTTCACTGCCTCCTGAAGTTTCTAATTTTTCAAGTTGCTGTGGTCAATTTGATCCCATATAGATCTTAAAAGAGAATAATGCTCAAGGCAGACATTTTTTACTAGTTAAGCTAAATTATTCTCTGTTTTTAAGAACACTTCAGGGATATTTTTGGTTTAGGGTTTAAAGATTCTCAGGGCAATAGTTTCTGGGGTTCATCCAAACTTCATGGCTCCAGGAAGTCTGGAGTCCATGAGAAGTTGAAATTCTGTTCTACATTTTCTCTCTTCTGATCAGGATTCTTCTATAGAGTCTTTGATCAAAATGTTCAGTAATGGTAGCTGGACACCATTCAGTTCTTGTGGTCTCATGGCAAAGGAGGCAGTTATTCACGGAGGCGATTACCAACATATTCCATGTCTTCCTTCTATTCCTGATGCTCCTTCTTCCTCTGTTGCTCCAGGCAAGTAGAGAACAATTGTTTTGCCTCGGAAGGCTGCTTGCAAACTTTTAAAACCCCAGGCACCATGCAGCAAACTAGCAGGTAGAACACAAGCACTAAACACGCTACGAGGCCGATTAACGGGGATGACCCATGAAACCATGACCCTAAACCTCCAAACCAAGAAACCACATTCCGCGAGGTTTTTCTTGTCCATAAGCAGCCTCAGCATCTACTTTTTGTTGTTGTTGTTGCTGTGTCACACAGCTTCTGCCAATTCAACTTTTTGCAGGTATACAACTAATCTGCAGCAATTACGATAATCGGCTCTGCAACCTTATCCTTAATCAGTGCGATATTTCCATAACTGTTAACCCCCTCCACTTTTCCCCTCCCTCCTGCCCCTGGTAACCACCAAAAGACTTTGTTCTTATCTGTTTGCCTTTTCTTGTCTTTTTATATAAGGGAAGTCATACAATATTTGTTCTTTTGTGATTGACTTATTTCACTCAGAATAATATCTTCCAGCTCCACCCTTATGGTAGCATGTATCAAGACTTCATTTCTCCTACTGACTGAGTAGTATTCCATTGCATGTATGTACCATATTTTGTTTATCCGTTCATCTGTTGATGGGCATTTAGGTTGTTTCTACCTTTTGGCTGTTGTGAATAGTGCTGCAGTGAACACTGGTGTACAAGTCTCTATTCGAGTCTCTGCTTTCACGTTTTTGGGGTATATACCTGGGAGTGGAATTGCTGGGTCCTATGGTGGTTCTCTTTTTAGGTTTTTGAGGAACTGCCACACTGTTTTCCACAACAGCTGTACCATTTTGTGAAAATGCTCTTAATGTAAACATCGATTTTATTTTGATTATTATAAATTGTATTCTTGCAGTTTTGGAGGGCATCTTATTTTCAGAAAGATATAACATCCACAGAATTAATTGGGTTAAAGACCATTTTATATCTGACTTCTATGGAGATATACAGATTGAAGAGTTTTGTTGCATGTAATGAAGGCACAGTCTTCAAAAAGTCCTTTATTCGGGTGATAACAGTTGAGTATTCATTTTTCAATGAATAATAAAGATCCCTGCCTTCATGGAACTTACATTTTAAATTACTAACTCAAAATACACTTACAGCATGCCTGCTATATGCCAGGCATTGTGCTAGGTTCCAGGGATACAATGATGAACAAGATAGACAAGGGCTTTGTTTTCAGTGAAACTTGAATTTTAGTGGGAGATAAAACTGTGTTTGACA